ATAAAAGCCTCAATAAATTTAAAATACGGTTTTTATTATTAAACAATTATAAAACATATTTCTCTGGCCTCTGAATGTTAACTATTCAAATGACTCTTTGAATCAACAGGACGGAAGCAATAAAGGGTTGTTGACAAATAGTTCATTGATGATATATATTGTATTTTTATGATAATATTGTACTGTCATAATTTATTAATTATTTCAAATGGCATTCATTAATTAAACTTATATTGCTTTGTTAATCTATTAACCATATAGTTTTACATGAATTATTTATAAGCTTTTCAGTTACTTCCATGCTCATGTAATACTCACTGATAAGATTGGAATCAAACATGTAAGCCTAGTTACGATTGTCCTTCTGATCTCTGGCACGTTACACATACGCACTGTGTTCTCCATTAACGGCCATTTCACATTTCCTGCCATCGAATTTCCTGTGGGGAAGTCACCCCAACCAATCGAAAACAATCCAATCCGAAACGAGGATGCTCACGTTCATGTTGATTGCACAAAGCCCTCGGCAAGGCAGTTTACAAGAAACAAATTAATGGCCACGCTGATGTTTCTTTCCTTGGCTCAATGATTACGCCGATAACTTCGCTTTTTTTACACCGCCTCCTTCGGTTTTCCCCCATCTCCGAGTTGTTTTTCTTGGCGGATGAAAAGTAAACAAGATGACGACGCCGGGGCCAAGTGAAAATGTTTGGCGCGTGTCTGCCACAAAAATTGCCGGAAATTTGTTTGAGCTTTAAATTACAAATCATTATCGATGCGCATTATAAATTTTGGGCTGAAAGGAACCGGCAGCTGGACCTCAAGGCGATTTCCTAATGCCAACGACACTTGTGAAATCACTTTGAATAATATTGCATTTGGATGGGGGCGCTTTGTGTGTCCTTTTGAGCAGATTAATTTCCGGCATTTAGCCGTAATTCCCCAGTTTCTGGCTAAGACCGAATGGAGTGGCCATTGGCCAACCGGCTGGCTAGCCTTGGCAATCGATGCAATCAGCTAAGGACCAATTTACCAACATGTCAGCGGCAAGCGAGGAATGCGGAGCCACAACTTGGGGGGCGAAAGCTTTAGATTTGCACACATTACCACTCAATCTTCATATACTCCTCAGTGATGTGCTGGATTTCAGGCCATCGCAGTCCCCCAGCCCCAGCTCTGGCTAAGTCCTTCGGCCAGGACCTCGGCATGCACATGATGTCCACATGGCCGCAAAGATTTATTTACAATTGTGTTGAGACATAATTCCCTTTGATCGATTGCGGGACCGTCCCCAAGGGATGTGTGGACGGGAAAGTGGATGTGGCTGCGGAGCTTTGTGGTCAGTTGTAAGTGATGATTCTTTTGGTCCTGTCCTTTGTCTTTGCTACTGCACTCGTCCAACGCCGTATACGCTGCAAATCTCTAGAGGGAATCGGAGAGAACAGGGAAGGCGGAGAAAGTTGAGAAAGTAGGGCGATGGAAGCTGGCAGAATTATTTGTGCAATTTATGTGGCTTTGATTTCATTGGCAAGATGTACGAGCCCGGCGAAAGCAATTTATGGTAACTTGATAATTTGTGTTGGTTCAAAGGAGTTGTCCTGTATGCAATTAATTTGCCAGACATGTGGCATTGCCAAACGACATTAGAATAGGGAAATTGCATTCGAGTTCGATGCTGCTGGACATGCAGAAATGTTGACATGAATCAGTTCTGCCAGTGGGGAACCCATAAAGAATGAAAGCAAAATAAAATTCCCATTTAAATTTACACAAATCTTTGGAGAAGACTAGCCGGAGTTATATTTCACGCTGATTTTAAAGTGAAAAACAATTTAAAAAAAGGAATAGAGATTTATAGGGTCACGAGTTTAATTTCTGTTTTTTACAAATTTAATTATGACTGTTTATTTTTTCAGTTATTTATAAAATTTGTTATCATTACTTTTTAATTGCAGATACGAACACAGCGATAAGCATTCCTGATTTATTTATTCGGTGTAATTTATTGTTAACCGAAATATCATCTATTATCTTCTCATATCGGTAGAAATTAATTACAATCCTTCTGTCTGTTTGATGATTTATTTAGTATTTATTATGTTAATAAAATACAACTACATAGTACATAACTCAACAATAATTTTTCTCTGTGCATCTCCTCAGGTTAATGATTGGCCTGGCCCATGCTATAATGAGAGCAACCGCTCAACTATAAATGCCAGCCCCGACAATCCTTTCTGAGCTCTCTGCAATTGCAAAGCAGTTAGAGGATCCTATGCCCTTCGCCGCTCCCCGACTCATTCATCAAAAAATGTGCACTTAACACATGGGTAAGGCAGCATCGAGCATTGCTGCCTCATTCCTGGGTAATGCACATAAATCCTTAGAGTGCGCACTTAACTCCTTTTTATGCTGCGACAAAGTACATTTACTAATGACCAAGTCAAACAATGGCAACGGCCAAGACGCCGCGGGAGCAACGGGAATGGGAGTCCTCGTAGTCGCAGCAGTCCTGGAGGAGGTCCTGGCAGTAAACTGAAGCAAAGTGGAAGTAGCAGCGGGGCGACCAAGGGACGCAATGGAGACTCGGCCCACGAAGTAGCAATTTACGCGCTCAAGACGGCGACAAAGCACGCAAAACGGAACAGCAGCTGGCTCGCAGAAGGGGTTGCGGAAAATCCTGCGAGAGAGGAACTGTCGGAAAACAGCGGCTGGGGGTGTGGAAAATCCTGAGAGGGAAAGCGCAGCACTGAGCTGCAAGTGTCGGCAGTGGCTGCATGTTAATTGCTGCAGCGACGGCAGCAACAACTGCAAACAGTGGGAAAGCGTGTCTAAATAGCGTAAATTTACACAGACACACTCGCACATACACATACACACCGACAGGCGGACAAAAATCTTTCTGCGTATTGTGTGGAAATTGAAAAGCGACTTGGATAACTGCCAGGAAACGCCAGACGTTTTCCACACCCTACATGCTAACTACATTCTCTCTGATTAGCCTTATCAGTTGCATTTCTAATTGAAATGATTCCGTTAATTACAGATTTTATTTGCCTTGTGGGTCATGAGTCTAAAGTGGTTGTAATTCTTCCAGATATTCGTTAAATTATATAGTATAATAGAGTATTTACTAAGCTTCTAAGCTTCTATCTTTTCGATATGTATTGATCAAATTTTATATGTTTTATTAGCATATTTATTTTCTATAAACATTGCGAATCCATAGTACCTCCTACCTCTCCGCAATTCGTAGAGAGTATTTCCAGAGCAGTAGGTGTCGCTGTCATTTGGTAGCCTGCTAATCCGTGACAGTGCACTATGGGGAATTTTGCCATTTCCGTGGTATTTAGTCATTTTATCAAACTTTAAATATTTGAGTTTTTTTTATGTAAACATATTAAAAATATATGGCTCTATAAAATGTAGTACCAGAAATGTTAATTAACAGTGCAATGTTAAGCCTATCCACTGTTAAAGTCGGCTGTTGTAGCCAAAATGCACGTGATTGAAAATAGCTATTTTTTATTCGGTTACTTTGAAATTGAAAAACTAAAAAGTAGAACCAATTTTTGATTAAAGTTTTGATGGAGACCAATAGTATTGGTAATTATTATGTGTTGTGTGTACTAATACATTGATCTGTGCGTGTCTTACTGATATATTGCGATTTTTCTAAGTGTTCCTCTAAGGAAATTTTTTTGAGAAAATATTTAACTTTAAAGAGACCTATAAAAAATATATGTCTTTGTATTGCTGTACGTCCGATATATGTTGTAGAGGCATTCATTCTAAATAAAAGGCAATTTGTCTCAATGTGCACAAATCCGCACAATCTGCGTAATTTAATTTTTTTTGCAGGTCTTTTCGAGCAAATTTTACCAAGAAAAAACCATTTTTCAAGTTAATTACATATAAATATTAATGTGTCAAATCATTTTACCTGTTTAAAAGGCAAAAGCTAATTTTTTTGCATTAATGTAAGTGCCAAATGGAAGTTATTAGCGAATTTGGAGGCCTGGACATCTTTTATGAAGAAATTGAATATGAAAATTACGTTTTTTATTTTATATCTGACGAAGAGCTTGAAAATTAAGACAATGTATTTTTTTTATTATGTTTATAAAATATATTAGTAAAAAAAAAAAAAAAATGCACCTTATACACTTAAAAAAATATATATAAAAATAAAAGAATCGTCAAGCGAGGGCGGAACCACGCCTATTTTTCCAAAAATCATTTCTTATGGAGTCCATAATTATAATAAAAAAAACCGTTTCGAAATATATTACTTAGTTTAAAAGTTATTAATTAATACCAAAAAAATGGCCAAATTCCCCATAGTGCAGTGTGCGCTCAACAGGATATCAAGCGGAAAAGGACAAAGGAGCGCTGCATACGCACAGGCTGAAAATGCTAATTTCCTTTGGAGCGCAGTTTAAAATGTTGATGAAGTAATTAGTTTAATATGCGAAATGCCCCTGACTGCGTATGTGCGTGTGTGTGTGTGAAAATGGGCAGAGTGTGTGAGGGCGTGGCACACAGAGAACTGTAATTGAAAATATTCTGAACTCTGGGCAAAAAGGTACAAGGGCAAAGTCGGCGAGCCTGGGCATTGTGAAACTTTTTCCATTTATTAAATTTGCCGCACGAACAGGGCTGCGGATTCTTGCTAGAGCACTCGTCTATGTGGGTAATGTTTAATTATTTGTGCAGCACATGAAATGAAAATTTCTACAAATTGCTGAAGCCCATTCCGGTTATCAGCTCAACTATAGATAATCCACAAGTTTTTCAATTAAGATGAAAGAAATGTGGGTTAACTCCTGCTAGAGGCTGGTGTGTATTTGTATAATTATTATTATAAATTAACTTAGCTATGACACTTTCCTGTTGAAATTATAGACGGGAAAAACTTTGCTTATCAAAGCCCGGCAAAAGTTTTGCCATCTGTGCCAAAGTTGTCAGTCGTCAGGCAAGTATATTCCTCTAACTTTTTTGACTATTATACAAATAGGATCACAGCTACAAAGATTATTTTTGTTTTTCTTCTTATTTTTCAAATTATTTGTTTTAGTTCATACTAGAGCCTGGAGATCTCCATTTTCATTGCGCCATAAGACACAACGTCCCGCGCGGCGTGTTCGAGCGTCGGGTTAAGTTGATGAAAGCGAAGCCCTATCTTAACTATTTCAATTGCTACCGGAACCAGGTGCTCTACAAAGATAGCAACAACTTCCGGTAGCATCCTGCTGCTAGCACATCGGCGACCAAAAGGTGATCGGTGTGAAGGCCTCCTGTGAGCGCGGATACTCGCGGAATGTCATACGCAGGATATTCAGCTCACCGACTTACGGGTCTGTCATATATCTTGACCGCATAATCAGGCGCATTAATTAGCCTTGGCTTTAAAATGTCAGTTATGCATAATCGTCGATGAATAAAAAAAAAAAACAAAAATGAAGCGCAGCAAACATTTCAGCCGGCTGTAGTCCTCGAGGGCGAATTTGTCGCTGACAGCTTACGCAAATTGCTTTTCCTCTTATTGACTTTGAACTGAGAAAAATGTTTTACAATTTATACACAGATTTATAATTTTATTAAAACAATAAATATGTACATTTATCCATTTAATAAAGTTATTTTATTTTTTTAAATTCCCTTTTACCATTACATTATGCTGTTAATGGTGTTCCATTTTTTTCTGTGTCGACAGGCAAAGCCACAGTTATGGTTGCTGACGTTTTTGATGGACATTCCGAGTTTTCCCTGCAGCCAGCCCCCAATATGCCAGAGAGCGGAAATTACCCCAGCTTTATGTCAGAATTGCATAAATCTATAAAATGTCTCGTTTGATGATGCCATATGTTATTGTTTGCATATTGACCGCTGTTTGCCAAGTATTTTGTGTTGGTCTCTCAGTCAATCAGTTTATGGCGCCTAGATAATTTCTGACTGAATGTTTGTTTAATTTATTATCCACATTCCAATTAGTATATCATGTTAGTTGATTATGTAAAGTAACATTTTAATTGGTTAAGAAAAGGACTTACTTTCATTTTCTGCAGAAATATTAAAATTACTCATTCATTCTTTAATTTTGTATAAATAATTAAAATGCAGTTATATTTACCTTTTTTATTACTTCAAAAATTTGACAACTGGCAATTAAATATTAATTACATTTATATGAATTTATAACAAACCTCTCCGACCGCTGCCCACAATTAACCTGATTTTCTAAAAGCTTTCGGCAAAACATCTGCATTATTAATCTTCGCAATTTCGAGAGCAAAACTAAATAAATAGTGAACGTAGCCAAATTATGATTTAAATGCCATCTGCAGTGGCACATACAATTTAATTTGCATACACAATTAGCTGTTAATTTATAACCTGCAGAGTCACTCTGCGGACCTTAACTTAGTCCGCCCAGCAACAATTCAATTAGAAGGAGCATCAGTAGCTGCATCAGCACCGACTCAGGTGCAAGTGGAATGTCCTGGAGAATAACTACTATTCAGACCTCCGGCACTGGAGTCCAAATAAATATTTGCTCGCTTTTCCCCAGTCAACTCCCCATGGCCGCCAGAGCCACTCTCCGGCGACTCGGATCGGTTCAACTGCTGCAAGTCGAGTCTATGTATGTGTCTTTGCTCCGCATTAAGATATGGCAAATTTGTGGCCTCCGAAAACACAAACAACGGCAGGGAGCAGCATTGAGATTACACTTTACAGGCTAAATAAATTTCATACGAAATAAACTTACAATTTACTGCCAGACTGCGTTTTCAAGACCAACACAGTTGTCTTCATGTCCTTGCACAACAGCCAGTTTCTATTACACTACAATCAAGTTATGAAGGTCCTGTTTATAATTTCTAAATAATTGTTATTCAATTAGAAACAACAAAGTACTTAGTTGGGTAAATTTGTGCAAAATATGAATACATTTAGTTAAATTGAAGAAAAAGATAGCTCCTATACATTCATTTTCTTACTGTGTTGCAAACCCTTCCCTTACCCTCTGAGCCTGTATTCATATTTTGATTAACGAATTGAGCAAAACAAGCTTGCAGATCGAAAAACAAAAAGTAATTTACTGTCTTGTTATTTTAATAATTTTCCAACCAATTCAATTGATGAAAAGCTCTGTGCACTGCCAATCAACCGTAAATAATGTGGTTTGACAAGTGTTTCACATTGGATATTGTCGAATCCAACGAATGAATTATGAATAAATACTAAGGCTGTTGCTGCTGTCGTTGGTGGCCAATTTAATTGGTCAAATGTGCAAACAATAAGTCAAATGAATCATTAAAATGGTAATGAAACAAATTTCGAACAGCTCATGGTTATGTAAATTTAAGTGTGGAGCAGCAAATAGCCTTGGGAGAACAAGGCAGAATTTCCATTATGAGTTTCTCCTGAATTTCGTGTACCTTTAAGCTATTTAAATATAAATTATATGCAAAATAAATTATGTATAGCCTCTGTGTTTCTTAGACTTTAATTTTCATGCTATCCCTTAGTTAATTTGAAAGGTTATTTTAGGAAATGTATTTATGTGGAAAATTATAAGAATTATTGGAACATTACTACTTTGCATCTTTTGTGAAATATTTACAATTAAATACTGAATTAAATTATATAATATTTAATTTTTTACGCATTTTACTTATGAATAATTTATGCACCAACCAATTAAAATGATATGTGAAACTTTTACCGTACCAAATGTATTCAAAGTATTTATTCCCAAAGCAATTTAATTCATTTCCATGGCATTTCAGAATGCCTAATGAATATGCAGATCCTGTAGACGATGACTTGCTGTCAATTTGATTGGATTTATGCCTGACCCGTGGGTCACACGAGCCGGCTAATAATTTATGAGCTGACCCACACAGACAGGCCGCCTGCCGGGCCATATGTTTCATTTGTTATTGCTGTCTTGGCACAAACAAAATAATATTTCATAAGGTCGTAAGCTGTCGCAAAAGATGCCTAATAAATAATTTAAGCACTCGAGATTGGACATCTGCCGGAGTTACGTGCCGTGAGAGGCTGTACGCCCGAAACCCTTTTCGTGTTGCTCACGAAAATAAATACATAAAACGCAGCCATAAAGAAACCATCATCAGGGACGAGTCTGGCAAAAGATCTGGGGGCTGAATGAAAAGCGTATTAAATTAAGCTGCATGCCCCAAATGCCAAAAGTCCTCCCTCCCACAGCCGAAATAACAATCATAAAATGTGACCAATAATGGAAATAATGAAGGAATGAATTAAATGAAATGTTGCGCAGCAAATTAAATTCTTGGTCTTCTTTTTGTCTGCTGCCAGTTGCCAGATGCTTTTGACGTAATGAAGAAGGCATCAAGTTTCTGTGAAAAAGTGGCACAAACTCAGGATGAATTAAAGTTGAAGAACTTGCGGGAAGTAAAGCGAAATAATTAGATAAATGATTACATTTAAGTAGAGGTAGGGAAGTAATTACTTGTATATTAAGTATTGGTTTTATTGATTTTATTGTAATAATTCGAAAGAATTTATCACTGGTCAATTTAATTTGTTATTTTGTAGAACTCCTTGTTGCTGCTCACTTTTGTATATATTAAATAATCCAATATATTTTCAAAAGCAAACCCACAAGCTTCGTTATAAAAATAATTGAAAGCCCTCTCGGTCAATAAGAGTTGTGCAGAATGTTTTTCGAAAATATTACGCATACGCCATGTTACACGCAACACCAACAATTGTGTAAATGCCATTAAAGTTCTGATTCAATTGCCGAAACTTCACCAACAGCGGGAATGGCATGCGAAATAAGCCAAATTTATGGCCTGCACAAAGGCTTATAAACCACAAATCAAAATGCAATACAAAAGCACCCGCCCAGCAACAGCAACAGTAGCAACAACAATTACGTATCAAGTTAAAAGCAATTGTAAATTTTCTAACTGAAGTCATATTGTCTATACATTTATCAAATGTCTGTCTGGCTGCCAGCTCGTGTGTGAGTTTTGTGAGTTTGTGTTTTGGCGGATGCCATAAATAAAACTCATCTAAAAGATAGACACTGGAGCACATGAACGGAGGGAGTCTTGAGTCGGAAATTGTTTCGCAACGTGGGAAATGTTTGATTTATGTCTGTTTTGCCAGTGACCCGAACGTGGCACACTCTCCCTCCATTGGGACAGACGGGGAGAGCCACAGAGGTCTCAGACTCAGAGGTTGTAAAATGTGTAATTGATGATGTGGCAGAGAGGACATAAAAAGGAAAACAGGATACGGACAAACTTCCTTCTAAATACGGTATTAATGCCCTGGATTTTGTTGACATTTTCGACAAAACATCTACAAAATGCCGCAGCCAAGTGAACATTGTTCTGGACCTTCTGCATGATAAGTGCATTTCGAGTGCAGGACACGAAGCGCGTGACGACATGCAAAGTGCCAGGGAAACGAGGGAGAGAGGCAGCGACAAACTAAAGAAGAGACAGAGCCAACTAAGCCAAACGGAAGCGGAAACTGCATGCAAAAAAGGGAAAATGGCGGAGAGGAGATAGGAAATGTAATGTTGACCATTTGGCAAGCAGCACGAAAAGTCATTTTGTTCAGCCAGGACACGAGACACCTTGCTTGTTATCCTGGCAAATATTTCCACCCCAACACAAAAGCATATTATCTAAGCGACGTGGGGGCCCCAAAAAAAATTCCCCTTTTAAGCTTAACAAATTGATTTTTTAGTTGGAGCCTCCACCGCCCGCAGTCGCTGCTGTGTGTTGCATGACATTTGCTCATAGAGCCGGTGCACATTCCCCTTTTCTGGAGTGATATATGCAACCTTTGGTGGCGGCAAATTCATTGCTTAATGCACTGGAAACCGTTTTTGGTCTCCCCCCCTCAACACTCCTGCCGTGCTGAGACCCAGAGAAGTTGGCGCCATTGTTTGCTCTATACTTTTCGGGAGCATAAATAAATTTTCATTAATTTATGTTCCAGGGACGACGGCATTCTCATAATGTGCGGCATAAGTTTGTGCCCCGAAAAGACGCCGAGGCTGTGGGCGGCAGGAGCAAACATTATGGCCTCAAGTGCAAGCAGGCTGGAAAAGGCCCCCAAAAGTCTACGAAAAAGCTCAAAAGACGTCGGATATTAAGATGAATCTGCTGCCTGATATACAGCCAACTTTGGAATGGCTAATGAAGCCGGCAAAAGCCTGAAAAGGCTAACAAAATATGGCCCTGTCATCTGAATATAGCCCTGCATTTTCGCTGCATTTTAAGGATGGCTTCGAACTTTTCAAATTCCCGTTAGTCTCATCTTTAGAGCTCAACTCCCAGGGGGGCACTGTATCAGGTTTATTGTTAATTTTATACACTTCCATTTGAATGCATTCCTCGGGGAGTGAATTAATTTTTACATTTTTGAGATTCTATCGCAACAGTGCTTTTGTTTCCGGCCAGACAATCGAATTAAAGCCAACTTCCGAACCGGCAAACCGACCGCAGGACCAACAATAAA